TCATTTTACTTTAATAGGACCAGAAGGACAATCTCAAAGGGTCACAACATCCCGTGGAATTTAAGACTTTGACCCAGAAGCATATTTTGGTAAAATACATAGTTCGATGTCACGTTGAAATTAACTCCATTGTGGAAACGCTATTTGACTGGCGTCTTATTGAACTACTTGACAACGGCTTTTCTCATTAGACTTATTTCACCTTTGCCTAAAAGCTGAGATTTTTCAAAACAAAGGCAATCAATTTTCAATATTTATGTCTCGGTCCAATGCTGAACATTTAAAACTCTAACTTTCCGCAAATTAATCATACATTGTCTCAAGTGGGGTCATTCTTTATAAGAAATGATTTGGGACATTCCTGATAATATCTTATAAGATTGAATGAATATTTATCTTTAGATGGAAAGAAACAAACAGCCAAAATGCATATAATAAAGCCTGATTACTATAACTATAAACTAAACAATACACTAGTTCCTGCCCCATACAAGAATGTCCCTATCACAAACATATGACATGTAGCAACTACATTTGACATCATCATAAACATCTTTTGGAAGATGTCAGGTGTGAACTAAACCGAAGCCGTACCCTTGACAAATTTACAATAGCAAATTTAATGAGTTGGCTCATGCATGTGCTATGGATGAAACCAAGTGAGAAGTAACTTTCTTGCAAACTATGGTGACATGATATGACAGTTTTCAAGGGACACACTGCCCAATCCTACAGGTTAAAGGGTGGGACACTGTTCAATGAGGTTGACAAGTGACAACTGAAAGCACCAGAAAATGGCACGCCTGTGTATTTTCAAGGAAAATTGCCTTTAATTAAAGTAGGTGTCTTTTGGGCAAAGTACACAACTCATACCCAGGCTTGTGAATATGTAACAGTGTAATACTTCTTTGTACCCTAATAGTTTGATAGTATTAAACTAATGACGCACTTAACGGAACAAAATAAATCTTATTCATATTTTCATGGTGTCAGACTTTAGTATCTAGCGTACACTTGCAATCTGCACTAAAGGGTAAAGAATATTAATGTGAGAATAGATGTCCTTTTCTTTGGACATGCAGAAACAGGAACCCTATGTTTGGTCAAAAAGCTCGTCTACTCTCTACAGTTTCCAAGGGAAAGTTAGGCACTAACCAACTCACAAGCTAATGGCGCCAAATTACCATCACTAACTCATCATCAACCTTCAACCATCAACCATCAACCATAATACTATACAGAATCAACCATGTTGTATAAATTAATAGAATTCTAAACCCACTTCACCCACAAAAGATATCTAAAAACCCCATTTTTCTGATTTCTCTTTTCAACGATAAATCTCTCACACATACCAATTATTTTGTCACATCCCACGAGGGATGCCTCATCGAAAGTAGAAGAATGCAGAGTCTGGAATTTATTACATTGGGAGTTCATAATCCTATTCATTTGACAAAGTTGGAAAATATAAATTCTCGTTACATTTCTTCATCACAAGATAGAAACTACTTTGAGCCATTCAATAAAGTTATGGCGAAAACGAAACATTATCTAATGGCACGAGAGTCTATGCTTGTAATAAAAATGAAATTTTGCAAAATTAATTATAAAAGACACACCAAAATAGAAATAAATCGCATTCAACCTTGCCTTTTTTCTTCTGTTAATGGTGAACTGATTAATGAATACCAAACAACTTGCAAAAGCGGAGGATTGATTCCCCCACATAACGAGAACCATCAAATGAACTGATCTTTGCTATGAGATTTCTTCATATGCACAAACTTGGAAAACTTATATCTAGTATTAAAAAAAAGACTGAAACTTACACCAAATTATGAAAAGAAAGAAGAGAATCTAGCTCATACCAGCACTGAAATTTTTAGTAGCAGCTGCTAACTCTTCATAATCAAAGTTACTCCAAGAGGGTTTCGCGGGAATATCTCCAATATCGATACCATCTTCAGCACTTCGAATACGAGCCAGTTTTTTGGTCAAACCCTTCCGAGTGATATCATGGCTCACCGAAAGCAAAGGAATGGAAGTTAATTTTCGCACAGACTTGAACTTGAAAACGTCAACCATAGACTTCCATGGCATCATGTAACCCTCTTTTCCGCTATCAATCGACGAATCTGTCTCGGACTCTGTTTCCGAAACAGGGGTTTCCAGAATCGCCCTAGGAGATCCGTCGCCATCGCTCACAAACTCTTTAGCGTTACTACGCGTTAATGCCATTTCTGAGTTCTTCTATTCTATTTTGACCCCTTTTCTTGAACTCTGCAGAAACAGAGCAACAGCAGAAGCAGAAAATACAAAAAAAAAAGGTCTTTAAAGCTTCCACTTCTCATTCAACGTAAACAGATAATAAACAAAAATTCCATTCACACGATTTAACAAAATAATTAAAAACCAACATGGTTTTCTTCTGTGGTCAAATTAGTATTATTGTTTTTTTCTATATTCCCGGTTGAGCGTTCTGTTTGGTGTGTTCTCCACCTGAAACAGGGGTGGTTATTTAACCGAAAAAGAAAGTGAGCTAACGAAATGTCACCTTATTTTGACATAGTTATGGGCTTCCGGAGTGCATATTGGAAATCCAAAAGCCCGTTCTAAGTCGAAATCCAAAAGCCCGTGCCCGCACCCGAAAGTTAGAAGAAGTAAACCGTGGGTGGTGAAAATCCTCCTTTACATCGGTGA